AAATCCTACCAATCAGTGACAGCCAGTGCATCACAGGTTGCTAAGAGCTCTTGGCAACCTGGGACGCTCAGGCCCCCACATGACCCAATGAGATGCCGTCTGAGGCAACTGTCTCATTATAGGGATGAGCCAATTGCACAAGTAGGATATTACATTTCTGGAGGCGCTCTGTACTCAAAGGTGTTCATAGTTGCCATATTGCTTTAACTTCTTTTGCTTAAAGTTTTAGTTTTTTTTACAGTTTTAGAATATTACAGCAGCTGCAGATTGAAACGGAAAGGTAATTTTTAATATTAAATTTCACATGAGCTTGTGAAGCAATTTTTTCTGCTATATTACTTTTTAATGAAAGTGGAAATCCCCCCAAAGCATTTTTTGTAAATCTATTGCAGTGTCTTACCGTGAGATCTTGCCAATAACAGCATGTCCTGGTGCAGGCAGACAGCTCTAAGCTGTTTAGCAGCAGTGATGTCAGCCTGTGATGTGCAATCCTTCAGATGGCTGTTGGGGTATCTTTCATATAGATCAAAGGAACAGCGGGATTCCCCGATCGACACGCTGTTAGTGTTGATGGAGGAATCGGGTCTATTTTTTTCGTTCAGCCCACTGGTTGAACGAAAAAAAATAGATCAGTGTATGGCCAGCTTTACTCAACAATCTACTGAAGGAATGTGCACGGCAGGCTGACAACTTTGCTTCTATATGCCAAGTAGTCTTAGCATTGCAAGCCTGCCAGAGGAAGTGCTGTTACCAACAGGATCTCCAGGTAATAAACATTGAAACAGATTCACAATAAGTTATTTGTACAACAAAACTACATACTGCGAGTATATATGTAAAAAAAAAAAGTCAAGGCAACTGAACTTGCTGTATTTTTCATAAAGATGTTTTGCTAGTCATCCGACCGGCTTTCTTAATTTTGACTTGAAAAAGCGAGTTGGATGACCAGTAAAACATCTTCAAGAAAAATACAGCAAGTCCATTTGCCTTAACTTATTTTCTACAGATATACCATGACCTGGATGAATGAGAATCTTCACAGACATACGTACTGTGAGGCATGATGCCAAGCATACTGAAAAATAGATTAAGGGTTTACGTATGCATTCTATAGATGTGTAAGGGATGAATTGACTACTTTTGTATTTTCTCAGGCAGTTAGTCAACATGTTCAACCAGCAGCAGCAGCAGCAGCAGCAGCAGCAACAGTTCCATCAGCTGATCCAGCTTCAGCATCTTCTGCAGCAGCACCAGCAAACTGTACAGCCAGCAGCACATCACCCACCCACAACTCAGCACCATCTGCCTTCCCAGCATGCGGCCCACAGGTGAGGACACTCTGCATCTAGTGATCTGTCAACCTCTCACCAACCTTCCACTAACTGTTTACTATTTACAGGCCGATTCCAAATGCAGTCCAGCAGCAGCACCAAATGTTGAACTTGCGACAAGGCAGCCCTGCCAGGCTTCTCAACACTCATCCCATGATACAGCGAGCTCTGCTAATGCAGCAAATGCAAGGTTAGCTCACACCATGTTCTGTCTGAAGTCTCTTAGATGGGCCAGCCCATCCAGAAGCCATATTTGAATTAGGTTTGCCATCTGTCATTTGATTTGTATAGGGAATTCAGCAGGGAGAAGAGTTGGGTCTTTGGGGTTTTGCTTTTCCATACCTGCTCTAATTTCTGTGTATAGGAATATATTTTTGGGTAATTCTGTCTTGTACAGAGTTGGTGTAAGACAAAATAAATGTGACCACACTAGCCCTTTGAATGTCTGGCAAGTGACATCACATAGGAAATATGAACATATACATACCAAGGACTGCCTGGAAATATTATTTATGCCCCCAACCTTGCAAATGGAAAATTTGTAGCTCTTGTTTTCTGTGCACCCCAACCTGACCTCTTGTCTTCTTTTGGTCCCCCCCATTTTTAGTTAAAAAAACAACTTCTACAGTAAGAATGGGCTACAGCTGAGCTTCAGGCAGATATAAAAGACACCAATTAATGCAGTTTTTCTATTTATTAAGACTTCAATAAATGTATTACTTTAACTGCAATCAGTGCAAGTACCTAAATTTGACTTGGTATCACCCTCTTGCACTCCTGTACAGCAGAGCTTAGACTGTGAGAGGGAGAAGCATCACAAGGAGTCAGTTAAAAGTGCTAACTAGAGACTTGCTCATACCGGTAGGAGGAGGCAACAGACTGTTTGCGCCCAGGCGCAAACGTCTTCAGGTAATTGCAGCATGTGTGTTGCAAGGGTTTGACTAATAACGTTATATACTTGCCTATCCCTCACTCGTGCAGGCTGCTTCCTTTTTGTCCGACCAGTCCCCAGAAGTTCTCTTTTTACTGCTCTGCTGGTCACAGCTCTAGCACATCAGCCTGTACAATTCGGGACCTGCAGCCCTGCATTGTATGGTAGGGCTCTGAGGGCCCACTTACAATCCATGATATTGAACAGCAGAAGAAACTAAAAGTACAAATATCACCTTTTTTATCATCGATGAGCATTTGGCCCCTGCAGGGCAGAGAGGAAAACCAACAATAGCTGTTTAGAATAGATATACTCAGTTTTTGGTTCTTCATTTCCTGCCTCTATAGTCATGCTTCTGGGCTGCTATAAAAAAGATCAAGCAGTTCTGCTGGGTTCTTGATTAGTGGTGTCAGTCCAGAGATAAGATAGCATCAGATCCTTTCTTTTCCAGTTCATACACATATAGCATAAAGCTGTACCTGGGATGGCATCCATTCACACCTTGGCTTCTTCATCATCTCATAGAAGTCTCCGTAATGCTGAAAGATTTAACCTGAGCTCTGTACTGAGAAAAGAATATCATTTGTTGTTTAGCAGGTAATCTCCGGGGTCTCAGCATGGTTGCCCCTCCAATGCCGCCCTTCTTTCCCACAGCCGCAAGACACTCCATTCTGGGCATTCCTCCTATGGGTGTCACTGTGAAGGGTCCAAGTATGACGTTTCCACCACTTCCATTCACACAGCCTCGGCATTATCACAAGGTAAGGAAAAAATAATCAAGGCACTCTATTGAAACTTGAACATATAACACTTACAGCAGCTCAGGATACAGCAACGTTTTTGAATCCATTTATCTTTCTGGACCTTTATCTTGTCTAGTTGACTCTTCTGCTTACTAAGCTGTTTTGCTCATGCCCCTGCTTGTTCTCATATATGCTTTAGGGAGCAATTCTAGGTAACCCAATGAGAGTAGTCAGTGATTTGCTAAAGCTATCCAACAGATCCTGCAGCTTTGTTAAAAATCATATTCTACAGACAAATCTAATTTGAGTTCTGTGAGAGATTAGCTTAGCAGCATGGTTGTACGACTCCCTGGATGAGTTCACAACGCTTTAAACAGTTCATGGTAAAACACACATGTAATTGTACAAAGACTATATACTCCAGGGGTGCCCACAATTTGTTGTGTTAAGATCTACTTTTCAAATGACGAGCTACATGAGATCTACCAACGAAAAAAAACCTCCCTCGCTCTCTCTCTCCTGGCTGTCTCTATTTGCTCTCTCTCTCCTAGCTGTCTCTCCTTGCTCATCCTCCTGGCTGTCTCTCTCCTGGCTGTCTTTCCTCGCTCTCTCCTTGTTGTGTCTCTTCGCTCTCTTGACTGTCTCTTCTTGCGCTCTCTTTCCTGGCTGTCTCTCCCCGCTCTCTTTCCTGGCTGTCTCTCCCCGCTCTCTCTCCTGGCTGTCTCTCCCCGCATAGCTCTTGTTTTCTGTGCACCCCAACCTGACCTCTTGTCTTCTTTTGGTCCCCCCCATTTTTAGTTAAAAAAACAACTTCTACAGTAAGAATGGGCTACAGCTGAGCTTCAGGCAGATATAAAAGACACCAATTAATGCAGTTTTTCTATTTATTAAGACTTCAATAAATGTATTACTTTAACTGCAATCAGTGCAAGTACCTAAATTTGACTTGGTATCACCCTCTTGCACTCCTGTACAGCAGAGCTTAGACTGTGAGAGGGAGAAGCATCACAAGGAGTCAGTTAAAAGTGCTAACTAGAGACTTGCTCATACCGGTAGGAGGAGGCAACAGACTGTTTGCGCCCAGGCGCAAACGTCTTCAGGTAATTGCAGCATGTGTGTTGCAAGGGTTTGACTAATAACGTTATATACTTGCCTATCCCTCACTCGTGCAGGCTGCTTCCTTTTTGTCCGACCAGTCCCCAGAAGTTCTCTTTTTACTGCTCTGCTGGTCACAGCTCTAGCACATCAGCCTGTACAATTCGGGACCTGCAGCCCTGCATTGTATGGTAGGGCTCTGAGGGCCCACTTACAATCCATGATATTGAACAGCAGAAGAAACTAAAAGTACAAATATCACCTTTTTTATCATCGATGAGCATTTGGCCCCTGCAGGGCAGAGAGGAAAACCAACAATAGCTGTTTAGAATAGATATACTCAGTTTTTGGTTCTTCATTTCCTGCCTCTATAGTCATGCTTCTGGGCTGCTATAAAAAAGATCAAGCAGTTCTGCTGGGTTCTTGATTAGTGGTGTCAGTCCAGAGATAAGATAGCATCAGATCCTTTCTTTTCCAGTTCATACACATATAGCATAAAGCTGTACCTGGGATGGCATCCATTCACACCTTGGCTTCTTCATCATCTCATAGAAGTCTCCGTAATGCTGAAAGATTTAACCTGAGCTCTGTACTGAGAAAAGAATATCATTTGTTGTTTAGCAGGTAATCTCCGGGGTCTCAGCATGGTTGCCCCTCCAATGCCGCCCTTCTTTCCCACAGCCGCAAGACACTCCATTCTGGGCATTCCTCCTATGGGTGTCACTGTGAAGGGTCCAAGTATGACGTTTCCACCACTTCCATTCACACAGCCTCGGCATTATCACAAGGTAAGGAAAAAATAATCAAGGCACTCTATTGAAACTTGAACATATAACACTTACAGCAGCTCAGGATACAGCAACGTTTTTGAATCCATTTATCTTTCTGGACCTTTATCTTGTCTAGTTGACTCTTCTGCTTACTAAGCTGTTTTGCTCATGCCCCTGCTTGTTCTCATATATGCTTTAGGGAGCAATTCTAGGTAACCCAATGAGAGTAGTCAGTGATTTGCTAAAGCTATCCAACAGATCCTGCAGCTTTGTTAAAAATCATATTCTACAGACAAATCTAATTTGAGTTCTGTGAGAGATTAGCTTAGCAGCATGGTTGTACGACTCCCTGGATGAGTTCACAACGCTTTAAACAGTTCATGGTAAAACACACATGTAATTGTACAAAGACTATATACTCCAGGGGTGCCCACAATTTGTTGTGTTAAGATCTACTTTTCAAATGACGAGCTACATGAGATCTACCAACGAAAAAAAACCTCCCTCGCTCTCTCTCTCCTGGCTGTCTCTATTTGCTCTCTCTCTCCTAGCTGTCTCTCCTTGCTCATCCTCCTGGCTGTCTCTCTCCTGGCTGTCTTTCCTCGCTCTCTCCTTGTTGTGTCTCTTCGCTCTCTTGACTGTCTCTTCTTGCGCTCTCTTTCCTGGCTGTCTCTCCCCGCTCTCTTTCCTGGCTGTCTCTCCCCGCTCTCTCTCCTGGCTGTCTCTCCCCGCTCTCTCTCCTGGCTCACCTGGCTGTATTTTGCAAGCAGTGCAACAGGCTGTGTAAACTATTCTTTGATGTAATACATAGCACTTCAACCCCCAGAATCCACCAGAAAGGTGTCAGGGAGCTTGGCTCAGCAGACTCGGGCTAATAGGTAATCATGTGTGTGCACAGCTAAACAAAATATACCAAAATGGAATAAAGGGGCCGCCATTCACACCCTTCGTGATCTACCAGCATCAGCTTTGAGAGCTACTGGTAGATCACGATCTACCTAATGGGCACCCCTGGTCTACACTATGTACAGGTTCAAAACCAAAGAGAAAAGCAAAATCATATAGTTTTGCCACTTACTAATGTACAGGGTCCTTGGTTAACAGGCCTGAAGCAACCTACCGGGCATCTAACTCTCTGCAAATTAAGTCTTTACCGCACATGCTGTGTCTCACCAAACATGGGCTGTAATTCACTAAAAAGATACTCTAGCGATCCCCAGGCTGCCATACACAGGAACTGGTTCCAGTGTGTGGCAAAAGCCCAAAGCAGGTTGGGAGTATATATAGAGGCCAGATCAAGGAGACCTGCTTCAGCTTGGCTCTTTGTCTAATCAGCCAGCCAACACCACTTGAGCTCTCCCACCTAATCAGCAAACTCTCTGAATTTGCGACATACATACTTCCCGTCCTGGATACAGTCAAATGTCTTTATTAGCATGTTGTCATAGTTCTTAATAATCTACTTTAAGTAAACCTTTTGTCAGAGAAGTATGTGGATTGCCACTGCCAACTTTTCTTCTGGAAATGCTAGGGGTATTTCAGCACTGTAAGTAAATAGCATCCACCTTCAGGATTCTGGGAGGATGGAAAACCCAAATGTATACACTTCCTGGGTGAGTGCACCACCCAACTCCCCCCTTCCTTCCAAGCCTTCCTATTTGCTAACAGACCACCCACCCCAGTAATGGGCAAATGTGAAGGCTATCAGCACATATTTCTCTTTCAATATATTTCCACTAACTTCTAATTTTACTTTTTGTTAGTAAATGCATTACATGTATAACCTTAAACCCTTTTCTGCCTGTAGGACCACTACAAAGGTCCTGACACAAAGAGAGACTACGAACCGCGTTCTTCCCTTCCTGATACCAACTTGAAAAAAATGAATGCAGAATTGGCCCCTACAGCATCGGAGGCTGATGAAAATATAACTTCTGAAGGTGAGGAATTCCATGTAACTGGCATTGGGCCTTCACTTTTACCTTGTGCTCTTACAGCTTTCAGGGTGCAGGGTTCATTCATTGGGGTCTCACTAATGCACTAATTTTCATCTCTCAATAGAAAATGTATGAAAAGGCAAACCATTTTCTTTAGTTTTGGATAGATTGCTGAAGGGTTAGCTCAGTGGTTCTCAACCTTTCTAGGGCCGGGACCCCTTGGTAACTTTTGCCAAGTGGTGGTGACCCCCAACGGTAACATTTAGGGATGAACCAAAACTTGTATCTGTGTAGGCTCTCAGGTGGTAAGTGGGACTCTCTGGTGGTGCCCAGTGCGGCTCTTTGGTGATCAAGCACTCACCTCCTCTCGCTCCCCTCGCTCTGATCTTTTCTGGCCTGCTGTTGCACCATCTAGGAGAACTGACACTGCTGCGCTAGCAGGAGGCTGAAGAGCCTCTTACCTAGCACAGCACAAGTCACGCGTGGACCCCCTCAACTGTGGGTTGTGACCCACTTTTCGGTCGCGACCAACAGGTTGAGAACCACTGGGTTAGACCCTTTGTCAGGTTTTCGTTGCTGTCTGCGTCTCCACTGGGACAATACACTTTCTGCTTGCCTTGGTGGCCATTGTTACAGATAGTGAGGTGAAATCCAGAATGTCATTTGAGAAGAGGTAAGGGAAAACTACCAATGAGGACAACTTTGACAATTTTTTTTAAGAGGGAAATTCTTTTCCTCATTTTTTGTTGCGTCTCCAGGGTAGAAAATGAAGGGAATCTTCCCAGTCTGACACAGCCAAAAGAAAGAGCCATGGGTTTTAGCCCTTCCTTAACTCTATCTGAAATTTTAAAGTAAAATTTTGGCTTTACATACGCAAGTTTTGAACATTTCTGTTTATATATCATACTGTAAACAGGTAAAATATTAATTAATTAAGTTGACATCTTTGCATCATGAACTGGGAAGTTTATAGTTTGGTTTTCTCAGACTTTGTTCCCCTGCTCCTGTAATGAGCCTACTTTCTCCGTGTACATGCAGCCTGTTGTATGAATTACAGTAGCAACTGTTCGTAACCATTCAGATTGGGCAAAACTTCAGAACTTTCTGGTAATGTCCATGCGTACCTGCCCTCTCCCACCCCCCAAAAATCCAATTGGTAATTGGGGGAGGGGAGATGGAAAGAGTCAGGCAAGCTCCAACAATGCCAGGAAGTCTCATTCAGGCATAGAGGGGCACTGAAAGATGTCGCAAGTGTGTGTATCTGAGTTGTTTATCAGTAAGCACATTTTCATGTCATCTTCACATTTGTACATGCTGTTTGTGCCATATATTGAGGACCATATTACATATTGAAATCTTCTTTCTGGTAGCGCTAGTAGCTATCTTTATATTGGACAAAGTTGTCAAACAACGGATAATATCTCATAAGCTACTGAGATAATATGTATACAGATAATTGTATTGATTTTAGTCTCTTAGGCCCCATTCACACTAAGCGATTTCCGCCGCGATATCGCGAGAAGTCGCCGGCTAATGCTATTCAATGGAGCTGTCTTAGCTCCATGTCGCTCGTCGCGGTCGCTTCTACAGGACCCTTTTTTCGGCGGATTTTGCGCGATTTTGCTTTTTTCTACTGGAGCCCGACGGAGAAGGTCGCGCTACCGTCGCCCCGAAAGTCGCGCTATCCCGCCCGCGCTGATCCGCTGCAAAAGGTATGTCGCTTAGTGTGAATGGGGCCTTTAAGCTGGCCATACACAGATCAACTTTGCCTGCTAATTCAGGCCAAAATTCAATTGTTGGGTGGCTCTTCCAGCATTGGCAATGGACTTTTTTTTTTTCTCTAGGAAACTGGGTGGCAAATTGTCAGCTGAACAGCAACTGCATTCATTCAACTGCATTCATTCAGCTGCAATCACCATTCAGGTTTTTTGGCAAGCATGGGTGTTGGCTCTCCCTATACAGTGGCTGGCTCTACCCCCTCTGCTTAGCATTGATAGGGAATTAAAAGATTTCTGTTATTTAGCTTGAGTAAAAATGGTAATTTATATATGGCCAGCTGTGCAATGTGGTTTGGCCACTACGCTGCTATTCTGTCCTTTTCAAGGCCTGTTCACACCAATGCTGTGTGTTAATCGCACAGTTCCATGCGATTTTAATGTGCAGTACCGCGCAAAGTACCTACAGTGCGGCAGTCTCGTTGCCTTTTATTTGAATGACAGCTGTGTCCCACCGCACTCCTTTCCGGAAACTGGGGATGCACTGATACTAGTATCGATGCCGAGTATTTTGGAGAGTACTCGTACTTGCATAAATTCTCAGATACCTGAGCTTTCGGTATCAGGGGGCCGGGTAGTAAATAATGACACGCTCCACAGGCTTCCTGATTGGCCGGAAAGCCGGCTCCCTTGTCACTGGTGACAAGAGAGCATGGAGCCGGCTTCCCGGCCAATCAGGAAGCCGGGCGCAGTGTAATGACTCATTGCCCGACTTCCTGATTGGTCGAAAAGCTGGCCAATCAGGAAGCTGGGCAACAAGTCATTACATGGTGCCCGGCATCCTGATTGGCCAGAAAGCCGGCTCCATGCTTCCTCATCACCTGGTGACGAGGGAGCATGCAGACGGCTTCCCTGCTGATTGGGAAGCTGGGTGGTGAGTCTTTACACGCTTCCCGGCTAATCAGGAAGCGAGTCCTTACACGCCGCCTGGCTTCCTTAATGGGACTTTTGGTATCGGCGAGTACCGAAATAAAAATATTGGCACCCGTACTTGATACTGAAAAACTGGCATTGGTGCATCCCTACCGGAAACCCCAAAGGTGGGTGCTGAAGTGACTGCGGATGGTTCCCCTAGAAACAGTAAAGCAGCAGGATGCCACCGGCACACCAAGCGTCAAGTGATTGTTTGTAGTGGGCGGGTGCATTAGCTAGTTTGCTATTGGCTATTGCAAAGTGAAATAGCCAATAGGAATCTAGCTATGCAATTGTATGCCTTTTTTTTCTTTTCTGACTTACGGTCAGGCCGCTGCTCCCGATGTCAGAAAAGAAGAAAAAAACGATTGCAGGGAAAGGTTTAATCTGCTCAAAGAAGCAGGATGCCACCAGCACACCAAACAAAAACCTACTGAGCCTGATAAAGGGGACTCTGCGTGGTCCTGAAACATTGCTTCCATGTGACAATATGTATCAATAAAAAATAGGGCTGCGGAAATTAACGATTAATCCCTCGAAAACAGCTTCCTCGGGTAACGAAGTGAAGGGGGAGGAGTCCGGTGACGTCACTGGACTCCTCCCCCTTCACTTCATTAGCCGACAGCCACTTGGGGAAGGGGGGAGGAGTCCGATGACGTCGATGTCCGTGACGTCACCGGATCTCCGACGGAAGGCCCGGAAGCCAGCGGAGAGGTGAGTACGGATCAAAAGAACTTTGATCGATCAAAAAAATTTACGATTAATCGAGGGATTAATCGTTAATTTCCGCAGCCCTATTTTTTATTGATGCATATTGTCACATGGAACAATGTTTCAGGACCACGCAGAGTCCCCTTCATCAGGCTCAGTAGGTTTTCGTTTGGTGTGCTGGTGGCATCCTGCTTCTTTGGTATTTATTTGAATTGCACACCTCCCAGCTGCAAAGGTACCACGATACTGTGCGTTGTTGCAGTTGGAAAAAATAGTGCATGCAATCACAACACATGGTATTGCGGCGCTATCAAGCGCATTGGGACTGGGAGGTGCGTTTGGGGTGCCATTTTATATGAATGGCAACACAATGCACCTGCTATACTGTTACATGTGTGATCAACATGATGGCATTCCCTCTCCCACCATGAGAGCTTCATTGGTGTGACTGGACCCTCAGAGTTGCTGGACACAGTGATATGACGGCAGGTGAATGAAACTACAGCACAGAGAGGGCAGAACCGGGACATATATTAATAAAAATTAAATACACTACGCTAGTTACATTTACACATACAGTAGATCTAAGAAAAATAAGACCATAGATCCCTTTAATATTATTTCAAGGTATTTGCTGTTTTGCTAAGGACTCTTGCCTTTTACCTGTTCCATTGAGGTAAGCAAATGGAGAACATACAATAGGGGGAAATAATCAAAATCTGGAGCAGATTTGCACTGCAACCAATCATCTTCTCTGTCTCATTTTCAACTTCTCGAGATTGTCTCTGCTCCAGTTTTGATAAATCTCCCGCCTCTCTCCCCCTCCCCCATATGTTTGCCTGTCAAGTTTTATTAACCCATTTCAGCACGTTTATAAGTTTTTATTTATCTGTGTTTATTCTTAAAGGAAAAGTAACCCAAAAAAGGAAACCTGATTTTCTTCCTCATCACATGTAGTATAGGACAACCTAAAAATATCCAGCTTTAAAACATGGGGGCCATGTAACAATGGAGGATAGGAGAGGCAATGTGTTGTATGTTTGTCTCAGTGGTTGCTTTGACAAGCTGTGCCAGTTTTTGTAGCCAATACACGGTTAGATTTGAGAAAATGTATGATTGAAGAGCTCTGGGCTGAAACTTACTGCAGGTTTTCAACTTGCAGTACAACTAAAGGTATCCATGTGACAGTCTAAACGGGTCCTAAATCCATTGTGATGCAAAAGCCTCATAAATTGGGTGGGGGGAGTGAGACAAATCCTCTTTTGTGCCTCGCATGCTATCCCTTCCAGGCACTGCAGCTCAGTGTGAGGCTTATAACGGAAGAAGCAGCACTGCCAATTCAGAAAGCAGTGGCCAAGACAAGCTACAGTGTTCTGGCAATGCCTATAGGGATCCTACGTGACCCCGAAACGTTGCGATAAGTATGTTTGCACGTTCGCCATTAAATAGACGTATTCTATCATTGGAGTGCCGGTGTCCATATTTATCTGTATCACTGAGACGGTGGCCATCCGTCAACTACCATTGCACCCATCTTATCTCAATGGATGAGTGGTGAGGAGTGCAATGGGTACATGGACTGTAATTGTATTGTAAGCAGGCATATCCTACATAAGGGTGACAGTTCTGCTCAGAATTCAGGAGCAGTTAATTACCAGTCACCCCATCACTGGAAGCTGCGTGAGATGGATTTTGCTGGCAGGATCAACAGCTATTTGTAAAACCTTGCAGGGAAAGTAAGTGAAAACTGTAAGTGCTGCAACACTTATCTTTTTTCAATTGGATACCATAGTTCTACTTTAAAACATCAGTGTGTCCAGGGATAGTGGTCTATTCCTAACCACATGTAATCATATCACATCTGATTACATGTGGATTGCCGGCAGACTGCTGCTTTCCAATGTGGCCGCTGTCACCCAATTATTAACTTCAACGGATGACAGTAACTGCTTTTAAATGGCATATTTGGGATTCCTGCCGCAGGAATTCATAGGTTACTGCCGCAGGGATCCCTAAACACGAATTCGCACTGTAGTGTGAATGAAGCCTAAGGCTGACAGGCACTTTGCAAAGCCCCAACTCGTTTATAATGATGGCCTTCCCTCTCCCAGCTTGAGAGCTGCAAGGGATTACAGGAAGCTGATACTAAAATACAGATACAAATGCTATTTCTATATAAAGTGCTGCCTGGGCCAGGGATGGTCACTATGCAGTCCTGCCCAGTGTGATGCACTCTTTGTATGGGAATTATTATCAAAGTTCATTTTAAGACCCTGTGAAAAATTTTCTCCCAAATAATGAACCAATTTTTCCTATTTGGTGGTTACTGGACTTTTAAGGAGGGAAGCCATTTGCATTGTTACCTTACCCGCTAACTCTTTTGGTAACTAATTTTCTCCTTTCGGCTCTTGTGTCCTGTGGACTTTCCCAAACTTGTCATCGCAGACGCTGAAAATCGAACCGAATGCAGCATTACCGACCCCCTTGAACCTTCAGCCAAGAGAGCAAGGAGGTAACTGTAAACAAGCTGACCAAGATGTACTAACCCCTCTCCATTGTCTCATGTTCCTATTGCCTGTTGTCTATTGCTGCATATCTCATCTTCCATCCACAATATTAGAATATCAATTTAGAAAAAGGATTCAATTCCATGTTTGCTTTCTAGCCATTTGCATGCTCCCTTTTTTTTGTTCAGCAATACTGCATGTGATCTTCCTGTTCATTTATGCTGGTACCAGCTCAAAATAAGTAGTATGTTCTCCGGTGACAGTTATCTTATGTTTTGGGCCGAAAATGTTCTTGTTTTGTATAGTGTAGGGAGGGGTTTTATTTTGCTCTCTTGTGTCATACCTTCACTACCTGTTTTGAAGACACACCAGGAAGTGAGAGCAAATCTCTTCAAACTAGGGGGAAATGCCCTCTTAGACAGCTGTCATTGGGACAGGTGTTCTTATTGAAAGGTCCCCTCCTCTATTCCTTTTCCAGTAACAACAATAACATTTTGGATTTACAAAAAAAAACACAAAAAAAGTTTTGTCTTTAAATGAACTTCATTTTAATTTGTAAAAGCAAAGTCGGGCGAAAAAAAGCTTCCTTATGCTAATCCCAGTTGGAAATTTGCAAGCAGGGTTGATACAAGGGTTAAAATGAAGGTTGTTAAAGTTAATATTTTAAAAAAGCTTGCTTATCGATCAGCAATGAAAAGTGCATAAAATCCATGATTCCAGGCTGAGCTCCAGATCTTTAGCTTTATACTGGAACACTTCCTTGTTCCTTTTCACACCTTGACTTCCAGCTGGGGAATGAGCGAAATGGATGGACTGAAGATGTAGAATACTCAGAAGATGTGACTTCTTGCTTACATCAATGGCTACAATACCTAATAAGGTCTAATGTTATATCATTCTCTATACCAATTACTAAATCAGGTGTGTAACATCCACCATATCAGATATTACACCTTTTTAAAGGAGAACTATAGGGTTAAGGCTTTTCCCCGTAGTTCTCCTTAGGGTAACGGGAGGACACAAACTAGCGTCCTCCCATCACCGTAGGCTCAGTATACCGCGAGCAGCTGCTCGTGGTATACTGAGACGCAGCAGGTGAAGCGGATCCCGACAATTATGTCTGGATCCGCCCAGCTGCGTGACTGACAGCTGGCTCTGCCTATCTAGAGGCAGAGCCAGCTGTACCCTCCCCGGTCCGTTCCGCCAGTCAGCGCTGGCGGATGGGAGGGGGGAATGCAACCCCTCCCCTGTCACGGCAGAGAGCCGTGACAGGATCGAGAGGTGAGCTAACGCTGGTATGTGTTCGCTCACTTCCCGATCTACTGAGCCGACCTGTGACAGTCTCATTGTCGCAGGTCGGCTAGAACTATGAGGTGAGTGAAAAGCACTCATCTCATAGTTCTCCTTTAAGTAGGGTATACACAGTTAGACTAACTCTCTAATTGATGATGCAGTGAAGTCTATCGATTTTTGACTAGTAGCGAAAGAATTTGAAGGAGCATGTTGGAATTTATTTCCATGAAGAAACATTTTTTTAATAGTGAATGTGGTTTTCGATCGGGAAAGTTCCATTCATTCTAAAATCAATTGTTCAATAAAAATCAAACGAAATTTGGAACAACAATCACCAAGTCTCTGATGGGATTTTTTCGTACAAATGTTCGTACGACAATCTACCTGTACTATACCTACCAATCTATACCTTACTATATGGTATTGTGGCTAGTGATGTGGGTGGTCACTTCCCCAAAGTTCTATATACATTGAAACCCACTCCCTTGGCCAGATCCCTCACATTTATAGTGTGGTTATAGTGTTATCAGGAGCAAAACAGTTACTGTGAGCATAACCTTTCTGGGTCTGGGAGCCCAAACTGGATTAAATCGTAGCAATCACTTTTAAAGTGTAGGATAGATTAGGGAAGTCTTCAAAGCCCTTTTAGGTTTTTATTGTAGTCTAAAGTGACAGAAAATCAGATTTTGAGTTGTTACTGACCAGTTGGGCTGAAACCAACTAATTGATTAATAATTGATAATGAGAATCATTGTCAACGATCCTCATTATTGATTAGTTGGTCTGGTTAGACCCCTGATATTTCCCCAAAGCCCCTAAACAGTGAAATATAAAAATAAAATAATAAAAAAATAATTTTAACCACTCTCGGGCGCATGCAATTTTAAGACTTGACATGTTTGTCTATTTACCTGACGTGACCCCGTCTTTTATATTTTACCAAAAAATTGGGGAATAAAGTTTTATAATTTAATATAGGTGAAACCGTTGTTGTTTTTTTTCAAAATTTTCTGTAATTTTTCCTTAATATATTAAAAAATAAAACCCCCAGTGGTGATTAAATACCACCAAAAGAAAGCTCTATCTGTCCCCAAAAAATGGTATCAAATTAATTTCAGTACAGCGTGGCATGACAGAATAAATGTCATTCAAAGTACCGCAGCGTTGAATCCTGAAAAATGGCCTGGTCAGCAAGTGGTTAAAAAATAGTAAAAAAAAAGAAACGGCCCCAACTCAATTTAAAAAAAAACAGGTGGGGAAAAATATTTTTCAAATTCCGGTGGGAGGTGCATTGTGCTGCTATTCATTTCAGTGGCACCCCAGAGGTGCTTCCTGCCCGCAGTCGATCGCCTGCAAGGGAACGTGTGGTAGCACAATGCTGTGCGTTGCAGTGCAGTATAATTGCAAAAAAATTGTGCATGCAGTTTTATTCTGAAGTAAAACTGTTGCACTCCTTTTGTGTATTTTATTTTAAATTTAAGGATGGTATTTTATTTATTTTAAATGATCGAAAAAGTTATCTGCCAACTAATCGATTATGAAAATAATAATTAGTTCCATTAGTTAGTCATTAGTTGCAGAAGAGTAGTACTGAGCAGATCTTACAGTGGGGACACCAGTTCTGCCGACAACTAGGGGAGGAATTTCCCTCAAGTTCTCTCCCTTTCTGTTGTGTCTCTGGGACAAGTAATGAGAAATCTCCCAAACGGGAGCAAAAAATATACTGACTGGTGTTAACTTGTCAATACTTTCTCCAAAACTAAAAACACTGTTTGGATTCTACATACACATTAACTATTACATGCTCTTCATAACTATAATGTGTAGTAAATCTCTTTATTAACTGACCCTTTACTGATGCCTGTGTGCTTACCCTAGCAGGGTATTGGGGGCCCCGCTGGGATTAACAGTAACACAAAGAAAATGCTTTCAGCAGATATATTTTAGAGGTGCTTTTTAAAGGCAAATACAAATTAGTTGAAGGTTACATTTTAAACAAACCTTACTGATTTACTCCTCACATGACAAGTCATTTGGTCCCTTTGTGGCTGGACGTACAGTGTACGTCTCCCGTCACGAAGGGGTTAAGGCCCTATTCACACCAGGGCAGATGCGTTTCAGCGGAAATTTCAAGCGCGTTTCAAACGCAATTAAAAACGCTCAAACGTGCTGATCCGCGAGTTTCCATTGAAATCCATATAGAATCCGCGCGAAAAAATAGCCCAGGGAGCATTGCAGGTGGTTCGGATCACGCAGAGTCGCGTGATTGCATGAATAGTCCCCATAGGAATGTATTAGATCGTTCATGCAGTTGGTTCAGCAAGGACAAATCCGTGCAACCGAACCGCCCTGGTATGAACGGGGCCTTAGACATGGAGAGGAATAAAAATGTTTTATGCATTAAAAGGGGCTCTTTTTATTTTTTTTAAATAAATTGTTGTTAATTCCAGCAGTGCTTCTGTATAACAGGGTTCTAAAGTGAACCTTTGCTTTGCCCACGCAGGGCAAATCAATATTCTGTGAGCCGGCATCTTCCCCCAGTCCTTTTCCATCATCCTTCGCCATTCTGATTGGCTAACCTGGGATGAATTAACTCCCGCGCACGTGGGATGTCACTTTTTTATTGTGAACCTGCTCCTTTTTCCTGTATGCAATAATTAGACTTTTACCTGCTTTTGTCAAAATATCTGTGGGTGATAACCAGCTCTTTTGATTGATTGTTGTAGACTCTTGTTGATGACCCCCCCCCCC